CCTCTAAAATTTCGGGTGTAAGATACTTTTTATGTGCTTTATCAATTTTTGGCATCAGCAAGATTCCAACTCATTGTTTAAAGGAAGCATTGGTCACGTGACCTCTTAGTGCAAGTGGCCTATTATTCCTCGAGCCCGAATGGGCTCTGAGTCAATAGCCCATGAGGCCGACTCAGAGGCCATGAGTAAAATCCAACTAGTTGGTCAAAAATATCGAGACAAAACAACTTTAGCTAGTTAAAGCCAGACTTTAATCCCTTTTTGCCGCCAAAAAGCTTTTCGCTACCAGTGAGTTATAACATATAGCCTAGTAGTAGCTCAACCAATGAGAACGCAGCATTGATAATAGACCACTAGTTGGATTTTACTAATGCAGGATATTCACTGATTGAGTAGCCAATCAGAGCGCGCGAAAAACACTTTCCACTGTTTTAGTATATACTAAATGCAAGTATGAGAAAAGGAAAGTTTTCAAGAACGGGATGAGAGAGCCCCTGGGATACTACTCTTAACGAACCAGTTCCACGACTTATTCGAATGCTTGTTCGAATGTCTTGTACAGACATTAAAGGGTAAAAAAATGTCTCCTGCACGTGCCTGCATGACAATTAAGTATGCCGAGCAGGCGTAAACAACCACGCAGACGATTTCGCATGAACAAGCCTAGAAGTACTTAGACTGCAAAACAGTCCGTATTTTTGCGTATTCAAGTATGCGCGAGCAGCCAAACAAAAGGTCTGAAACGAGGCTGGAACAGAGAGCTAGACTGGGGAGAGACGCTTTTTTCTTTCGCCTCACAGGCCCTACGGGCGTGTGAGGCTCGCACGCTTCACGCGCGTAAGACTCTTGCGCCACGCTTTACCGATTTCTTTAATGATTTTGAGAAAAAAACCCGACTGTTTTGCAGTCTAAGAAGTACTCTGGTGTTTACGAATTTACCTTCGATCAGTCCACCGGCTGATTTCTTCAATTGTTGAATTTTTCGTTTTATTTTGGTTTGTTAACATGCTAAATTATGGGGTAAGATTTTCGTATAACCCCATACACTTATTATGCATGCATGTTTCCACTCTATTCATTTTCATATCAAGTAGTATGGAATTGCTGCCTGCATAATGAATGTATGAACTTACACGGAAATTTTACCAATTATGGCTTTTCAGTGGGGCTCATTTTCACTGAAAGCTCTCCTGCACGAGCCAAACATGCACGGCCAACAGTCGAGTTTGCAGGTGACAAGCCTCAGCGTCCGGGAAGTTAAAAAATGCGGCGCGTCTGGTTGTTATGAAGTGACGTAATCATCCAGTTGAGTATCTGTCATCGTAATACTTCCGGTCAACTACCACAGAGCTCGTAAAGTACTTTAGAGACGGACTACTAGAAAAGTTATGCATAAGTTTTCTAATGGTCCGTCCCTTAATTAAAATCGTGTTCAAACCTCTGTGGAGGAAGTCTGTTTATAATTGTGTCGATAAATGCACGTCTGACTTTCATGAGGTTCAATTTTGAATGAATTATCAAAATTTTTGTTAAGCGAGAAGTCTACCTACGGTTCCCGGGAAAAGGAACTTTTGTAGTGGCGCAACACAAATTTTTCGAGACTCGAGGATGTGCTTACAAACCATTCACTATATCTATGCGACTAAAGGAGGGTATAGCGTATATAACAGGTTTAGCATTTCGACCCGTAGCCGAAAAAAGAAAAAATTAGGCAATTGCCCTATATCCTTTCTGGTTCATCTAGATAGAAGTCCTGGCATATAATTATGCCTGAGCGCTTCTAGGATATAAAACACGTTTAGCATTTCGACACGTAGAACAAAAAAATTGAAAGTTGTTCCATATCCTTTCGGGTTCAACCAGGTAGAAGTCCTTGCATGATATTCATGCCTGAGCGCTTCTAGGATATATAACACGTTTAGCATTTCTTATCACAATTTCATCCTCGTCGATAAAACAACAGGTCATAGTCAATTAAGAGGCCGCTTTGAATCAATACGATCTCATTTGCATTTCTCCAAATTGCAGAGGGGCTGAATATTAGCTTGAAGAGTGCTTTGAGGTGTAGTACATGTAAACGAGAACTGATCTAAAACCTGAAGGAGAGGTTTGTATTACTAAATTTTTTCACATCAATTTAGCGGCCGACCATTTGACTTATCAGAGAGAAAAAAGGGGGGATTAAAAAAAGAATGCAGACGCTGTATGTCAGGGAAAAAGAAAAAAATATATCATCAGAAGTTTGGGCAACATATTCTTACAAAAAGCAAATTACCTATACCCTCTCGCCCTCATCCCGCCCCACGCCCAAACGCCTCAAAAGTCAGCTGGCTGGCCACTTAGTCAGCACAAAACCAAAAACAAATAACAAGGAAAAAAATTAAAAGGCGCCAAATTTTCAGGACGGGAGTCGGTTTCTTTGAAATTAGGTTTGCAAAAACTGTCATTGAATTCAACTATGGACCCGACGGACATTTTGTGTTGTTGTCTTCTTGGAAAAAATTTTGCGTCCCGGGTAAGATACACCGAAAGAGGTTCGTACAGTTTCTAGAAATTGTATTTGAATGGATTACGCGAAATGGGATTTTCTTGTCCTTTCAGGTATTGTATCATTTTTAGTGTGCTTACGGTGTTTCAAAAATTGCTTATTTCAATATAGATATTTCTTATTTCTTGCTTACACATATTTTCTATAGAACCGGCCAAGTTTATATTTAGCCAAATTCGAAAATATTATAGAGAATGTTGCTGACTAACACCTGCCATACAATGCACTCTCGCTTTATTAACTTCCTTTAATTATTACATCAGGGCTAGTGTAAAAGCGTTCACCGGATTAATCGAAATTCGATATTTACTTTAGAACATGGAATGTTATGAAAACGGTTGCAGTTTTATGGAGTTTGTGTCATTTTCGTGATAGAGAATCGGAAAGGATATATTTTAGTAGACATCAAATTCCAGAATATGTAAATATAAGAGGGCGGATCAGAATGATAAATTGATATTGCTCTCATACTGAAGGCGAAAGGAGGTATAATATGTGGTGCGCACTTTCAAAAGTAGATTCACTTATTATTCCGCACTTAAAGGGGTCATAACAGTGTACAGTTTAATGGGTATTAAAGTGAACACTTTAAGGAGTCTTAAAGTGAACACTCTAAGAGTCCTAAAGTGAACACTTTGAGGAGTATTAAACCGGGGAACACTTTATGGGGTCTTACAGTGTTCACTTCAAGAAGTCCTAAAGTGAACACTTTAAGGAGTCTTAAAGGGACCACTTTAAGGATTAAGTTATATAGGACAATCTTATATAATTTTAATTGTAAGATTTATATAAGGACCTTTGCCCAGCATCTTAGAAAGATCCGTAAAAAGTACGATAGGGGATCGAAGCGCGTACTTTGAAACCTAACTCAAGGACTGAGCAGGTAGTTCCGGCCACACAAACGATCAAAGACAATGATTTCAGTAGAAGTGAAAGAAGGTCAGTAAGCCGCGGTACTACACTGTAAACCAAAAAACTGATGGGCCTATACATTCAGCTGTAGGCCTTAATATATAACTGAAATGCATTATTTAGCAATTCTATTGAAATAAAATACTCTGGGACGTTTTTGAGGGTGTTAAAAGCACTGCTCACACCTCGCGTTTTATCACTGCTCATTACTTAGCTTTTAAACATGTTTCTAGTTGCAAATAAAAAGAAAAACTTTTTAAAGAAATTGAAGTTGTCGTAAAGTTATAAAGAGAAAGCGTTTAAGAAGCGAGGTAAATGTAGGATTCCTATAAAGTATTCCCCATTCCAAAAGCGAAGCCGGCTAAGAAGTCGGACAGAAAGAACATATGATTTTAGAAGGATCAAACTACTATGCCTTTTCACTTGAATACTTTTCATGTTTCATTCTGCTTTGCGGCGTTTGATTTTTTCGAGGAGTGTGGTTCAAAATCCTATTTGAATTTAATCAAGGTTGATTATGATTAATGATGGCGGGCAATTTGCGTTTGTTTATTTATTCCGGCTTCATCATCGCCGAAGAGAAAGCACATATATGCTTTAAAATGTTTGATATAGATCAACTCATTCTTGTACTAACATTCAGATTTGGAGATGTTTTGGTGTAAAACATTTAGTCGCGTCCACTTCTTTATCAGATATAAAGACACACTAAACATTAATTTCTTTTGTTTTTAAGTTTATGGATTATTAATGAGTTTTTTTGAAAACATCATTGTCACTGCCTTATGCAATATTTGTACTAACTTTATTTTAGGTAACATTTAAGATAGCTTAAAGGGGTATGTCATAAAGGTATTGCAATATTGCTGTTTTACGTCAATTCTGTGCCTACGTCATCAGGAAATAACGTCACACAGTCCCTTTAAAACCGATACTGGTGGGTCAGGTGGGCTTTGTATCAAACAATCATGAAACTAAGTAGATGAAATTAATGAAAATGAGACCACTGATGCACGTAAATAAGACGAAATTTGTAAGGAACAGTTCTCGTGGGTATTATCACATGACCAGTATTGAAAAAACAAAACATACTAGCTAAAAAGGTCTATTATCGACACTTATCGACACTTAGGAGTATTTATTCAACGTTTTGATACAGGTGGACCTTTTAAATTTAAATTCACAACATGTAGAAATTGACTAATCGTATTGTAAGAAATATAGCTTTAATTTACTTACGTAATAATTTACCTCAGTTTGCTGATCAATATCAGGATACAAAGTTATTCAGTAAACCCCTTCAGGTGGCAGGAATTACAATTATTTGCTTACATGCAATCAGAATTAGTACAGTGACAGTGTTGTCAATGGCAGAATAAAAAACACCTATTATATATCAAACCATTATTTGAACTGTAGATGTTTTCCAGTAGAAGCGAGTATCAAGAGAACACAACTGTCGAGAAGTCAGTAAAAGAAAAACAACAACTAAAACAAAAAACACAACAGTAAAATGGATCAAGTTCCTGGAGCTGCTCCAGTCTGATAAATCCAGAAGTAACGAACAAAAGTAGGAGCAACAGTTACTTTTATTTTGAGCTTCGTTTTCGCTCTGGTTGGAAATTCCCTAGTCGTATTAATTGCCTACAAAACGCCAAGGAGTCAGTGAGGATGATCGCAACAGCAAATGGATCAAGTTATTGGAGCTGCTCCAGTTTAATAATTCCAGAAGCAGTAAAAATTGGAGTAACAGTTGCTTACAGTTTTATCTTTTGTGTTTCGTTGGTTGGAAATTTTCTCATCGTATTAATTGTTTACAAAACACCAACTTTGAGAAAACCGATAAAGATGTTGATCGCAAACATGGCCATGTCCGACCTGCTCTTTCCAATATTCCTGTTCCCCCTTCGACTTGCAGAGTTTCACGTTGGCTCGTGGATTATTGGTGGTGCCCTTGGCCAAGCTTTATGCAAGCTACACATCTTTCTTGCGAATGTTTCTGGGGTAGTATCGATTCAGAGCCTGGTTCTGATAGCAGTGGATCGATTTGGAGCTGTTGTAGTTCCACTCCGCTCTCCTCTCGTAACTAGAAAGCTTTGTCCATTCTTTATTATCGCCACGTGGATCACCGCAATGGCCGTTTTTTCGCCACTTCTTGTTGCAAATAAACTTGTTAAATACCGAGAACGACTGATGTGCGTACGTCTGTGGATGGAATTCTTTGGAGGAAGCAAGTTTGCAAATTACTTCCTAGCAGTTGCTGTCGTGTTTCTCTGCATCCCCTTTGTCCTCGTGGTGATACTTTACTCTATCATCTTCATGAAGCTTAAAATGCAAGCCCATCCGGGTGAACAGTCAGCCAACGCTGAAGAAAAACGCACCAGAAGAAACAGAAACGTGCTTAAGATGGCCACAGCCATCGTTGTAGTGTTTTTCATTTTCTGGATACCCTATTTCAGTAGCGCGGTGATAGTTAATTTTAGTGCACCGGACAGTTCCATCTCGTTTTCCTGTAGTTTTTATCTGTTCTACATTGTCACCAATTACATGATTTACGCAAACTGTGCTATCAACCCGATCATCTGCCTCACTTTTAGCAGTAATTATCTCCAAGCACTTAAGAGACTTGTGAATCGCTGTGATACAGGGCAAGATTAACTTTTGAAAACTAACAGCTGGGTCTTAAGCGTTTCGTGCAAAAAAAAAAAAAAAAAAAAAAAATAAATAAATAATAATAATAATAATAATAATAATAATAATAATAATAATAATAATAATAATAATAATAATAATTATAACAATAACAGAAACGTGCTTAAGATGGCTACAGCCATCGTTGTAGTGTATTTCATTTTCTGGATACCCTATTTCAGTAGCGCGGTGATAGTTAATTTTAGTGTACCGGACAGTTCCATCTCGTTTTCCTGTAGTTTTTATCTGTTCTACATTGTCACCAATTACATGATTTACGCAAACTGTGCTATCAATCCGATCATCTGCCTCACTTTTAATAATAACAACAATAATAATAATAATAAAAAAGATCTGCATGCTGGGATCTGCACGAATCCTCAGAAAGGTGCTCAGTGTATGAACAGAATGATTGACTTGAGTGACTGACGCTCTAGGTGTATGGTTTGCGCCCGGCTGATGCACGTAAAGAACACTAGCAAAGACTGTGATAATAGAGATATAATAATAACAATAATAGTAATAAGGATTAAAAACTTCACCATAAAATAATGACGGAGATGATGATGATAATTATAATTGTTATTATCTTAATGTAAATTAAGGTTTAAAACACCCCTACTAAAACCGTGAACGAACAATGTTGCTCAACGTTGGATCAAACAAGATCGTTAAATCAGTCCAAAAAGATAAAAATAGAATTAAATTTAAAAAGACTACTGCAAAGACTGATCAAACAACTTGAAAAAGGCTAAGGTATACAATATTTCGACTGGCGAATACCAGCCTTCATCAGGTTCATGATTAGGAAAAAACAGGAATATACAGAATATATGTTGCTGTAAAATAATAAACTGAAGTTACATGGTATGACGTGCTAAGAGAACACAACTGTCGAGAAGTCAGTAAGCATGAACAGAACAGTAAATGGATCAAGTTCCTGGAGCTGCTCCAGTCTGATAAATCCAAAAGCAGGAAAAATTGGACTAACAGTTGCTCTCAGTTTGATCCTTGCTGTTTCGCTAATTGGAAATTTCCTCATCGTATTACTTGTTTACAAAACACCAACTTTAAGGCCTGTTTCAAACGTCGTACTACTGCCGTTCTAAGCTGGCTCGACTGTAGCTGCGGCTGCAGCATGAAACTAGCACCACTTGGATTCAAACGACGAATTTAATTCAGTCGAATAGAACGGCTGCTCCTGAAAACAAAACACAAAAATAAAGAAACGATTTGGCAAACTTTTAAATGTATTCTAATGTATTCATAATTTATGAATTGAGTTCGGCACGGCAGTAGCACGACTTGGTTTCAAACATCGCGCTACTGCCGTGCCAAAGTCGAATTTAATTCGATCAATATAGTTGGGCATGGCAGTAACACCACGTCTGAAAGGGGCCTATGAAAACCGATAAATATGTTGATCGCAAACATGGCCATGTCCGACCTGCTCTATCCAACATTCCTGTTCCCTGTTCAACTGGCAGAGATGCACGTTGGCTCGTGGCTCATTGGTGGTACCCTTGGTCAAGCCTTATGCAAGCTAAAGGTCTTTCTTGCAGATTGTTCTGTGTTAGTATCGATTCAGAGCCTGGTTCTCATAGCATTGGATCGACTTGGAGCTCTTGTAGTTCCACTTCGATCCCCTGTGGTCACTAGGAGGGTACTAAGAACTCTCAGTTGTCGTAATGTTGTAAAAAGAAAGCTTTAAGCGAGGTGTATGTACGTTTTCTAGTATTCGCCTTTTTAAACGCGAAGCCAGCTAAGAAATCAAGAACATGAGTTTAGAAGGATCAAACTACTTGAATAATTTACATGTTTCATTGTGCTATGCGGCTTTTGATTATTAGTGTGGTTCAAAATTCCGATTCAATTAAATCATGGTGGCTTTATGATTAATGATGGCGTGCAATTTGCGGTTGTTTGTTCATTCTTCGAAATTCATCCTTGCCAAAGAGAAAGTACATAATACTTTAAAATCTCTGATATACATGTAGATCAACTCATTCTTGCACTAATATTCAGATTTGGGGATGTTTTGGTGCAAAAAATTTAGCCGTATCCGTGTCATAAATAGATATAAAGACATTCAATAAACATAAATTTTCTTTTTTTATTATTATTAGTGACTTCTTTTTTTGAATGAATCATTGTCACTCAGCCTTGTATGCAATATTTGTACCAACTTTATTTTAGGTAACATTTGAGACAGCTGAATGGGGCAATGTCTTGACGATGTTGCAATATTGCTGCTTTACGTCAATTCTATGCTTACGTCATCAGGAGGGTCAGGTGGGCCCTGACCCTCAAGTACTTGAAATCATTTTTGTTTATTGTCTGACTACAATTAGAAAAACAAAAAGAGTTTTTTTGACATGATATCTCAGCAACATTACAGAGACATACTTCAGTAAATTCAGTAAATATGCAGCGTAATAAGCCTCTTTAACCTGTATGTTTTGTTTTCCCAGTGGAGGTCCGAGGAGAACTTGACTCTTTGTTTGTTTGTTTGTTTGTTTTTTTCATAAATGATGCGTACATATGCAGGTGAATAAGACGAAATTTGAAAGGAACTTATTGCTCTCTTGAGTACTATCACATGACCCAGTGTATTGGAAAAACAAAATATACGAGCTAAAGAGGTCTATTATCGACACTTATCGACGCTTAGGAGTATTTATTCAAAGTTTTGATATATATGTACCTTGATCACTCAGTCGTTTAAGAAGAAATACTAATTAAAAGCTTTAATTGACTTACATAATAATTTGCCTCAGTTTGCTGATCAATAAAAGGGTACAAAGTTATTAGGTAAAACCTCTGCAGGTGGCAGTATTTGCTTACAATTAAATACAGTGACGCCGAAGTGTTGTCGATGGTTCAATATTAAGCATATACAATATATAAAACCATTATTTGAACAGTAGATGTTTTTCAGTTGAAGCAATTCTCAAGAGAACACAATTGTCGAGAAGTCAGTAAGCATGAGCACAACAGTAAATGGATCAAGTTTCTGGGGCTGCTCCAGTCTGATAAATCCAGAAGCACTAAAAATTGGACTAACAGTTGCTTACAGTTTTATCCTTGTTGTTTCGTTGGTTGGAAATTTTCTCATCGTATTAATTGTTTACAAAACACCAACTTTAAGAAAACCGATAAATATGTTGATCGCAAATATGGCCATATCCGACCTGCTCTTTCCAATAATCTTGATCCCGGTTCGACTGGTGGATTTGCAAGTTGGCTCGTGGCTTATCGGTGGTAACCTTGGTCAGGCCTTGCAAGCTACATTTTTTCGGTACATACATTTCCTCGTTAGTATCTGTTCAGAGTCTGGTTCTGATAACAGTGGATCGATTTGGAGCTGTTGTGGTTCCACTTCGTTCCACCCTCATGACTAGCAAGCAGTGTCCATTCTTCATTGTCGCTACGTGGATAATCGCAATGGCCGTTCATTCGCCATATCTTGCTGTTTCTAAACTTGTTGAATACCCTGGAGGAATGAGGTGCACAAGTCAGTGGAGAGAAACCTTAGGAGCAAACGCCAATAGAAATTTTGTCTTAGTAGTTGCTATCGTGTTTTTCTACACCCCCTTTGTCTTGTTGGCGATACTTTACTCCGTCATCCTGATCAAGCTTAAAAGGCAAGCCCATCCAGGTGAGGCATCAGCCAACGCTGAGGAACAGCGGACAAGAAGAATCAGAAACGTACTGAAGATGGCTATTGCTATTAATGTAGTGTTTTTCATTTGCTGGATACCATTGTCCAGTAAGGGGATGATAATCATTTTTAGTGCACCAGAAAGTTCCATTTGGTCTTCTTGTAGTTTTTATCTGTACGATCGTATCACCTTGTCTATGGCTTTGGCAAACTGTGCTATCAACCCGATTATCTGCCTTATTTTTAGTAGTAGCTATCGCCAAGCTCTAAAGAGACTTGCGAATCGCAGTAATAAAGTGCAAGATAAATTTTTTGAAAACTAAAAGCCTGTTCTGAAACGATTCCAGAGAAAAAAAAAACGACCGATATTTAATAATTATTCCTCGAGCCCAACTGGGCTCTGAGTGGCTATTGACTCAGAGGCCATGAGGGCGAGAGGAATAATTGTTTTAGTAAAATCCAACTGGTTGGTAAAAAATATCGAGAATAAAAAACTTTTAGCTAGTTTAAGCTAGACTTTAATCCTTTGTTGCCGCCAAAAAGCCCGCGCTTTTCGCTACTGGTGGGCTATAAAGTAGTAGTAGCTCAACCAATTAGAACGAAGCATTAGTAATAGACCACAAGTTGGATTTTACTGATAATTAATAACTTTACTGTAAAATAATAGGGCGAAAAGGCTGTTATTTTTATCTTCGCTAACAAAGCTTCTGGATGGTTTGCCGCACAACCCGTAAAGCAAATACAAAGTAGGCAGGAATATGCAGATTTAGCCAGCGCTAAAAGTGAGGCTCCCCATTAATAATTTATAATGTAAATGAAACAATAAACTTGTATTCCACAATATTCGGTTAACTTTAGAGCATATTCATGTGAGTTTTGAGGGAAAGGCTAGGTGATTTTAGAGAAAAATAATTTGCAAACAGCCCAAGAGTGAACCAAATCTTACATCGAGTTGATAGCCTAATAAGTACACCCAAAAACTGGCAATCATCTTCGACATCACATTTAATTGACATAATGTCATTGATCACCATAGATTAATTAGGCGTGGAAAAAAAAATCGGGCCGGGATTTTTACGTTCGACAAGTTTACTTTACAAAATGTTGCCAACAAATCTGGGTGCATGTAAACCAACCTTTTATACCAGTCCATTTATAAATCACCTCTGAGGTGAAACAGTACTATGAGGCACTGTTTTTATCATACAGACCTCGGACAGAATGTAGTATTTCACAATTTTGCAATACAAATTGTACTCATTCAATATTCAGGACCACCGAAGCATGCGTGGGCTTTCAGCTAAACCATTAAAAAAATTTCCAAAATCACCAATACGGCCAGCCGGTTTCACTTTTGCAGTGCAAGATGTGGTCAAGTGTTTAATAGACTACGAGCAGTCTCTCTTTTTTCTGTAGTCCGTCGAGCAAAACGCGAGACACGCAAATGGCCACGCGCGTGACTGATGGCGCGAGATGGGAGAGGCACGAAAAAAGCTGCCACCCTCGTTTCGCGCATCTCGCGGCTTCGCCGCTCGCGCGCGCGTGCACTCCCCTAACTAAACCGGAAGAAAAAGAGAGACTGCTCGCAGTCTAAGTGTTTGAATGAACATTAATAGAGTTACGCTCCAACATAATAAAGAATTTATTATGTGTTTATTTAACAGTTAATGAATGAGGCTGAGTATCTTATGAAGAATTATAGAGATCGAGGAGGGTGTTATCCATCGAGGCCGTAGGCCGAGGCGGATAACACCCTATGAGATCTCCATAATTCTTCATAAGATACGAAAGCCGAATTCAATAAATGTTTTACTATTCATTCAAAATAATTCCTAGTTTAAAAACATAGCTAAAACATGCTTACCTCCATCGATCCATCGATGTTCAGTTCATCTTCGATCCTCATAGTGTACGTTTAGGTTTGTCCACCTCCGCAAATATTCTGCAAATAGCAGATGTCGCCCTTCGAGTTGTCTTCTTGCTGTTCTTGCCATGTTTTAAGCTACTTTTTCGCCTAGTTCTTACTCTTGAAACGAGTGAAATGTCCGCCATTTTTTCAAGTTTACAACCAAAACAACTTAACCTCGTCCCCAGGTCTTCTCGGTTAACGGTGCCTTAACCTGCGAAAATGCTGCATTTTTGACGTCATTTCCTCGTTAAAGTCAAAATTCTTCCAAATTTGGTCATCAGTAACTGGTTATGGTGAATTAAACGTATGCTTTTAGCCAATCAGAATCGGGGAAATATTTTGAATGAATAGTAATTTTTATTTAATGTTTTATCAATGTGTAATCTTCAAAAGCGTTTGATACGCACGGCACTGTTTTGAGTACTCCTGCAAGCGATGTTCACTGAACGACTGAAAACAAACGGCACAGCGAATAAAAGTACAAAAGATACTACTAACAATCAACAAAAGAAGTATAATTCGGTGAAACATATGCAGAGACAACAATTCTCATTCACGAAGACAAGTATTAAAGTGTCTGTAAAAATCCTGAGTCTTCAAGCTTAAAGCTTAAGTTTATGTTTTAAGCCGGATTTCCCGGTGTTTGCTTTTTTCAAAGATGAACTCGGGGGCAAGAAAATCGCTCAAGGCTTTCTTTTACAACCAGCATTATAACTAACTATTCTTTGGAACGTTTTCTTTCTATTTGCGGTGAGTAAATGTCTAAAGGCTTTTCAAAGTTCTGTAAGCTTATATCAAACCTGATACTCGGTCAGATCATTGTTTCAAATATTACAAACGCGCATAAACTAAATAGCCCCATAAACTGCGCTCGACTTCATTAAATTAGATTTAATGCTCTCAACCCATAAGCCCTTAGATAAAAGCAAGTAACTAGACCAGAATTATTATGGGGAAAGGGGGTAAGGGATGAAGTACTCCAAATATGGACGGCAGGTCACTTTTCTCTACATATTGGTGTAACATTCCAAAATCTACAAGGGGAGAGGTGATAATCCTCTCTAGGGAGTGATAATCCCCCAGGATAGTGAGAGGTGATAATTCTCTCTTAGGGGTGATAATCCCTCAGGATAGTGAGAAGCTAGGTGATAATCCTCTCTAGGGGTTGATAATCCCCCAAAGTTGTGAGTGGAGGTGATAATCCCCCTTGGGTACTGGAGAGGAGGAAAGACCTCTCTAGATGTCTAATTCCCCGGTTTAAGGAGTAACAAGAGTCTATGGCGCAAAGTGTGACTTGTATGGGAGTACTTCATTCCAACAAATACCCCAAAGGGGTACTCCCCATAGACGAACAACAGGAATTGTAGGGCTATTTCCAGAGTCAAATGCCACTTGAAACAATGGTCACATGGTACTTGAACATTGCGTGTAAGATTAGACTGGGCAAATGTCCCAGCGACCAGGTATCAGCTGGGGACTTAACCAGGGACAGAAACAAGTTGGTCAGGGGCCTAAGACTTCCTCCACAGCAGATGAGGAGATATGCAATAACGAAGAACAAAACAAAGGATCAGTCTATAAATTAAGTACAATTAATTGACTAATTACACAAACTGGATGTAACTGGTGTATCTATCAAGTCAGGGCCAGATACTGAGATGTGAGAATGCAAAAATATCTGCGGTACGCAGTTTAGCAGATATTTGTTTTCTGCACGTTCTTATATGGTTAATTACGTGTATTATCTTGTCTGTTTGTGTTTCGGTATTTTTGGTGTTAAGTATTTTGCATAAAATTATATAAGTGTCTTGTTCATTCGTATTCGTCCTTCGGGTCTGTGAACGCCTAACAACCCACAGTCTGATTTCTTCGCTCGCTTGATGAGCAAGAAGCAAGGATCTTCGGTTCCGTCGTTGCGTTCCATTAATGAGGCTATTAGGGCTTCTGTTGCGGAGTTTATCGGTTCTTTAACGGATAATCTTACGCAGGTTATCAAAGATTGCCTCAGTGGCTTTACAAAGCGATTTTCGGAGGAAATTGCGTGAATAACGCGACAGTCGTGCAAGCCGTTAACACTGTTAATAAGGCCCGCAGCGAAGTTTTAGTTGTGAAAGAGAAGGGAATCAGCAGCAGCTCGCGATCACGCCCTGCATTAGTGCTTGGCAACTTTAAGGAATTGACGCATTAAAGTCCAAATTCTACCGCCGAGTTAAGTCGGTCCTGGGAGCAGGTACTGGTTGGTTTCTGCGCGTATAAAGGTTTTTAAATGGCCGATAAAGTGACTTTAGTTGGTCTACTGTGAATGGATACCTTTCCGGCGAGCTTGCGTCGAGTTTTGAGGACGACAGGAAGACTGATGTATAGGGCAGAGAGAAGAGAAGAAAAGAAATCCGGCCAAGGCAGACGTCGCCGTTTTCGCCTCGTCGATCGAAAGGTCTAGGCTTCTCCCACTTCTACCGCTTTTTTATGGTGTACCATCTCCGCCAAAAAGCAAACTTGTAACTCAACATCCAACTTTACCGTTGTCAACATCGGACTTTACAGTCAACATAGAACTTTGTTGTTATCAACAACGGACTTTACAGTTGTCAACATCGAACTATTGACTCAACATCCGACATTACAGTTATCAACAGCGGACCATTGGCTCAACATCGGACTTTAGTTGACTATTTGTAACTCAACATCCAACTGCACAGTTGTCAACATCGCACTATTGACTCAACATCCGACATTACAGTTATCAACAGCGGACTTTGTCACGTCAACAAAACAAAATGTTCGACTTTGCCAAACGCCATGTTCGTCTTCGTAAAGTTCGATGTTGAGTTCTCTTCGTGCGTGCCAAATCCGCCGATAATTATGGGATTGCCAGAATGACGTCACTATGGCAAAGCCTCGCTCTCGTGTGAACTGTTCTTCCACGTGTTGCGGCCGCGAAGATTTCAGTAAGATTTCAGCAAGATTTCACGCTAAATGGCAAACGGCAACAGCCACGGCAACAGCCAGTTAAGCCGACTAAAAAACACACTACTACAAGTGGCAGAGAGACTCGAATCTTTGGAACACCATGATCATGAAGGTGAGATAACTGAGCTTGAGCTTAAAATGTTTCGTAGCTAGCGCTATTTTTCGACTAATAATACTTGAAGGTGCCTTATAAATGTAAAGTGCAGAAAATAATGCTGTTATCCCGACGTTCTATCGCAATCGGTGAACGATTTCCGTATAACCCCATCAATAGTTATGCATACCGTTCTTAAAACTGAAACAAAAGCCAAAACAATAGAACTCTAAAAGCAAAAAAATAGCACACATACCTAATTAATGTCACCATGGGGTTAGTTATGCAATGAAACATAACAAAATTTGGTAAACTTACTGATTGTCATGCAATCTTCCTGATGGTGAGATTAATTTTTTGTTATGAAGTTAATTTGAACAATGTGTAAACTGGGGCCCAGTCCCTTTTTGAACTTCGGAACGGGCAATTGGGAACACTAATTAATTATTGGAATTTGGAAGTGTTGGTTTAATAACACAAAGTCAGCTTCACAATAAAAGTAAGAATAAAAAGAAAATGGAATGGATGTATAATGCCAAAAACATATACTAACCTTCAGTTATGCAAACTTACTGATTGCATGCTCTAAGAGAAGGTACACTGAATAAAAATTAGAGGGCCAGATCGTTATGAAATGAAATGGACACCCTGAACTGGTTACTGTTGAATACTTTCAGGTGCTACTAGCACTAATATTGCTAGTGCTGCAACAGCAAGAACCTCATCCCACGAGGATGCAAGAGCAATACCAACTGCAACACCTGCTGGAACAGCTGGGTCATCATGTATTGGCAGCATTCCTGGTCCTTCAGGAACAACAAGAGCTGTGCAACCAACAGCAAACCTAAGAAATTCTGTCTCTGCCGCAGCCTCAGCTCAAGAACATCGAAGGCTGTTCAATTACAAAACATCTTTGAGTGTCCAGAATTGTGCCAACTGTATTCACCACTTTCATTGTTCATTTTCACTCTCCTACAACAATTTAATTTTGAACTTATTTCTCAACCTTATTAGTTTGTGGTTCCCATCGATGTGCCAAAGAGCAAGGGGAGAATGCACATGGTATTGTCTCCTTCTTATTGCTACGGTCCACCTCTGCCAAACTCCCACAGGGTCTGTTCTGATAAGAGATTGACGTATTCGCTCCCTCTGAACACGGTGCCCTTGACCCTGGAGTAGACCTTTAAGCATACGAATGCCAATGTTGGGGTTGCTGTTTTGGGCAGCTGTGACCAGTTCATCAAGTTGTTCATCAGGGATATGACTGTAACATCCTTTAGAACGTCAATTAGTTAAAATTTGACATGATACAATGTAAAACACCCTGGAAACAAGGCAACTTTATGTGATTCCTAAGGGTACCTATTTGATATGCTAGATTACGTTTGGACAATATTTTTGTATTTTGGTAGAATTTTGCACTGAAGGCCCGGACACACGGTGCAACATTCTTCACTCAATGTGGTTACACGCTGCAACATTTCCTGGCTTTTCCCTACTATACAAGATACTGCAACACTAGCCAATCCTAAAACAGTCAAATATGTCAAAGAAGAGCTAGGAATTTAGTTTTAGACAATAAAAATTTGCGGCTTGCAATGTTGCAGAAGTAGTACGTGTTTCTACTTAACTTATATCCAATATTGCGTGCAACAATTTACTCATTGCGCGCAATGCGGCAGCGTGTTGAGCCTTAATGCAGCCATCTCTCATTACTTACTTTCTTTTTTTCATTCAATAAATTTCGAATTTCTGATGACATGGGTGCACTTTTATCATAAGAGGAATTCTGGGGGTGGGGAAACATCCCATATATTCTCTTAAGGGATGGACCATTTTATTTTTCATTTTTTTTGGGGGGGGGCGGGGGAGTTGGGCAATTTTTTTAACATGAATTTTTTTCCGTCTTGTGGCTGTGCACTAATTTTTTTCCGGGATTGTTCCAAATTTTTTTTTCTTTTGGTTCGTTGCGCAAGTGAATTATCTTTTACTACTTTTGCTGTGCATGTTGGAATTTTATTTCGGAAATTGCCCCCACCCCCCCCCCCCCCTCGGCCAAAAAAATATCATAATAAAATGGTCCATCCCTAAATCGAATCGAAACCATGCTCTTTGCAAAGCAATCATCACAATTTTGGCCAGCGAATTCATCACCTGCGTGTACGTAGCAGTACTTACACAATGTGAAAAATACTATAATCTGATTATTCATATAGGCACTTCCATCACCGGCCGCCGTGTTTTTCTTACCAGTAATACTAAGACCAAAGACAGCCATCCTTCTTTCCACTGTTCGCTTTCCCACTCCAAGAATACAACTTATTTCCTGTACTTTGAAACCATGTTCCAATAAAAATGCGAGATGATCCCTGGAGATCTCAAATGATGGCCTACCACGCTGACCTGACGCAGAACACGGAGGATAGTATCCTCCACTCGCATTCGCGGAGCTCTCCATAGCAGCAGCAGTTGAGTGAAGAGTACCGATCGTATCAATAATGTCCTGGTCAACGTCGAGGCTGACCCGCATTCTATTTAAGAAATCGAGTCGCACAACAATAACCCCAATTTCAGATACATCGGAGAGTGCATCAATTCTCGAGACTAGATCATTCAACATGTCAATAACACTCCTCAAGTCCGCCATCTTTTTTCACACGAGAGCGAGGCTTTGCCATAGTGACGTCATTCTGGCAATCCCATAATTATCGGCGGATTTGCACGCACGAAGAGAACTCAACATCGAACTTTACGAAGACGAACATGGCGTTTGGCAAAGTCGAACATTTTGTTTTGTTGACGTGACAAAGTCCGCTGTTGATAACTGTAATGTCGGATGTTGAGTCAATAGTGCGATGTTGACAACTGTGCAGTTGGATGTTGAGTTACAAATAACTAAAGTCCGATGTTGAGCCAATGGTCCGCTGTTGATAACTGTAATGTCGGATGTTGAGTCAATAGTTCGATGTTGACAACTGTAAAGTCCGTTGTTGATAACAACAAAGTTCTATGTTGACTGTAAAGTCCGATGTTGACAACGGTAAAGTTGGATGTTGAGTTACAAGTTTGCTTTTTGGCGGAGATGGTACACCATACTTTTTCCTTTCAATTTGGATCTTCAGCGAGTGCTCAGCCTAATCGATGGGTTTTTAACTTTTCGCATCGTTTAAGATAAGTATTTCTCTTTGCTTTACATCACACTTCCGACTTGCTTTGTTTTTTCCTTCGGCGGACATATGGCTTTACACCCAGGCCATATCCAATATTCTCCATGATTTGTTGTTTATGTTGTTTCTTGTTTTTCTATTAACTTCTGGAAAGTGCAGAATGCAAAAATATCTGCGGTACGCAGTTTAGCAGATATTTGTTTTCTGCACGTTCTTATATGGTTAATTACGTGTATTATCTTGTCTGTTTGTGTTTCGGTATTTTTGGTGTTAAGTATTTTGCATACAGTTATATGTGTCTTGTTCATTCGTATTCGTCCTTCCGGTCTGTGAACGCCTAACAACCCACAGTCTGATTTCTTTTTATTGTTTTGAATTTCTCAGCTTATTGGAAAAATTGATTGTTTTGTTTTTTAGTGATTGAAGTTCGGCTTTTGCTCACGTCTGTTTCTTCATTTCAAAGACCAACTTCTCGCAGTGACTGGCTACTATATAGATGAAGGAAAGGATTCATTTGTCAATCTTCAGATGAGTGTGATTTGATTTATTTTAATACAGTGTTTCCGAAGAATTTTTCCTCGGGATATCTGTTCAGGAGTTATTTAAGGTCGCTTTAAGTCCTCCTTTAGTCTTTGTGACTCAAGCCTAAAAGCACCTCAGTTCACTGTTGCTACCATTGCCCACTTCCGAGTTTTTAGCCAATGGCTGTATTATCGAGCATGGTGAGCCTCCATTCTGACGGTTGCAGTCGTCATCGATCTTACGCAGTCACGTTAATTGCTACCTCGTTCGATTTAAGTTTAAGTACGAGAATTTTTCGCACCTTATCGCAGGTTCTTAAAGAGGGGCACCGAGGCTATGAGTGGGACCTATAATCTAGACTGACATTCATTTCCTTAGATCACCAGAAGTATATATGTTTTTCTTGGCCCTTCAAGGTGTGCTTTGATATTTCGCTTTCTCGATTTTAGTCTTTGGTCTAGTTAAGCGTTTGTTTTTGTTTTACTGGCTTTCTATAGGTCTGAAGTTTTTTGTTTATCTCGATGACCCATCTGGTAGTCATCTAAAAAAGGACGTCTGCCGCCCGGTAACTTTTATTGAGCGCAAGGGGCTTATTCTTCCGGTTTCCTTATTGGTAAGGAGAAATCCCAACGGGTCCCAATACTAGTGAGCGAGTGGCTTGGGTTTGCGGTCTGCACTATTTGTTTTATGTTTTAGATTCCCGAGAAGCAAGTTTTCAGCTAGTGAAGCGGCTTTGGCCGAATTCTGCAATTCAAAATGAGTCATCTTTCTATCGCAAATCAGCTGGGATGGCTGGTTCCATTATTTCAGTTGCCTTAGAGGTGGAGCCCATTCCCCTCACAAGCCAGACGAAGGTAGCTATGGAGTCTTCATCGGCGTAGGATCACCTTTTTCGCCTCACTCCCCCGCGGCTGGTGGAGTTGAAGTTTTTGTTTTTGTGACATTGACTCTTAAAAAGGTAAATCTATTTGGCATTCCCCCTTCCTCCCCAATTTTTCCACAGCTGTATTTCCCGAAGTAAGCGACGCTTCATTTCGAGGCTTTTCCGCCCTGTGGCTACCGTTATGTTCACGATCGATTATTTGGGTCAAAGTTGCTATTTTTTGCGAATTTGATAGCTATTTAATATTATGTTTTGCTTTCTTTTGAAGAGCGGTTAAAGCACAACAGGGTAAAAATTTTCTCTGACAACCAGAGTGCTTTGGTGTCTTTAAGGTCCATACAGTCGGTGGCTCTAAGCGTTTTTCATGTTTGTTTTCGCATGGTAATGCCTTGGAAGCGCAGTGGATTCCTAGATCGATCAACGGGAAGGCTGATCTTTTGCGCCGTTTCATTGACGAGAATGATTCGCCAGTTAATCCTTATGTGTTTCGAGTCGTTGAAGCCAAATGGGGTCCTCGCACGAATCTTAATTAACCGTTTCACATCCTATTATAGAGCGTTCAGCTTTCGCGTTTTGACCCCTAGTTTGCTTCTCCTCGTTGTAGGTGTGTCCGATGCCTTTGTCCGAGACTGGAGTGGAAAGGATAACTGGATTTTCTTTCCAGTGTGTCTGGTAGTGGCCGCCTGATTTGAGCCTGATTTGGCCTTGTATGCCCGGTTTGGTGCATTTGTGCGGCATGTGAGCCTGATTTGGCTTATTTTTTAGCCTGATTTGGCATAATCTTGAGCCTGATTTGGCATATCTGTGAGCCTGATTTGGCGTATCTGTGAGCCTGCCTTGGCTTGAGTTGTGAGTCTGATTTGGCATATCAGTGAGCCTGCTTTAGCTTATTTTTGAGCCTGATTGGGCATGTTTCAAGTCCTTTTTGGTGTCGGCTCGTTTTGGGCCTGTAATATAATTTTTTCAATTCTTCTTTGCGCGAATATTTTGCTTAGCGCCTCCCTTGTTCAATGTTTTTTGTTCAGTTAAGTAAATAACGCTGTAGTTGTTTTATTTTTACGCTATTTCCTTTTATTTCAGTTGCCCTAAATTCCAGGTTATGGCTTGAAACAGCCCCCTTGACTGATTCTTCGCTGAGGTACACAGTTCCAGGCCTGACTGGTTTGCAGTTGGATGCTAACGTTCCATCCACAGTCTTGAAGATACGGGTCTGGCTTATTGTGGTGGCGTGAGTGGGCTTTATCGAAGACTGCCTTTGCATGTCTCATTGTATCTATCTAAGTTAGCTTAGCGTTCTGTGGATAACACTGGCGCATCTTATTTAGAATCTGCTGTTTACAG